AATAATAAATAGCTATATATTTTCTTTATTAATACATTTTGACATCCTTCTCATATCTAGATTGTATCTGCAGATATGAACAACATGTTATCTCAACCCCTTGATCACTATTTGCTCTTTCTTTATATTCTTTATCATGCGCATATTGAAGAGCAGGTGTGTTAGAAAACTTCTGCCATCGTGAAATATCCAATATAAATGTATTTGACACAAATGTATATCCTGCCAAGAATTTTCTAATATTATATTTATTTTTAGCTGCCTGGAAGGATTGTTATTTTGATAACATTCTGTCAGGTATAATACTAATATGGAATTATTATGATTGGTTGCATAGTCAGCCAGGTGCGTAGCATGGATTTGGAGTTTTTATCCACCTGTTGACTCCTTTCCAAGCAACTGTGATAGGCAAATGCTGTTCGGTAATGTTGAAGGTATTATCTCAGGATGTAAGTAAACCTGCCTTTTGCAATTGACTGATGGTGATTTTCTCAGTGCTGATGATGTTCAAATGATGCTCCTGATGTTTTGAAATTTTACCCAAGGTGCCTATTACTAGTGATACTTTATTTGCTTTCTTTTGACATAGTCATTCTACTTCTATTTGCAGGTCTTTTTATTTTGTGATTTTTCTCTACTACTTTGTCCTTAATTCTTCTATCTCCAGGTACCACAACGGCTACTATTCCGACTTTTAAAAAATTTTTCTTATCAACAGGTGTTAAGTCTGGGGTGTTGTGTGGCAGGTATTTGTCTATCTGAATTCTAAAGTCCCAGAAAACTTTAGCTTCTTCATTTTCTATGTATGTAATACTCTCACCAGTTCTTGCTTGCAGGTAAATGATATTTCTTGCAGATATTCCAATGCACTCATTGTTGCTACTTTGTCATGCCATTGTTTATGCCCAGTAAAATGCAGATGCTGGTAGAAACTGTTTTCTATCAATAATACATCAATATTATAGTTATTATATTGTGTTTTTATTATGAATTAAGTATTTATGTGATCTTATATATTATTTGATTACTTTGGGTTGCCTTTTAGAGTTGTACTCCCAGAACCACTGGAAAATGTCCTTTGGAAAATTTTGGTAAAGCAACCAGGAGAAACATTTATTCTTACTATTTTATTTAATAAAGGGGTCAATATATATATATATTTCTTCAAATATTTTTTGCTGATTTTAAAGCCACCTTGAAGCAATTTTTAAGATAAACTGTTTAATGAATAAAAATATAATATACAAACTAACAAATGCAATAATGTATTTTTAAAAGCAACAGGAGTAAAACTACACATTACAAATGGACATATGCGTTTTTAAAACCAAAAGATATATCTAAGTCTTTTAAAATATTTTTAAAATGGTCAGGTAGAGAACATGCACTTATCGTGTGGTAGGAAATTCCAGAATGACAAGGATTTTTCCTAAACAGACTTAATTTCTTCCAGACAAAAATAGGCATGGGAAATCTTACCTATGGATTTAGAAGAGAAACTCTTATACTGATAAGAGATCAAGCAAGTTTATGGGTTTGGATGATCCTTCAAACAACCAGTCCCAAATCCATTCTGGTCTTTCACCAGAATTGCACTAACATTTTAACCTGAGGCCAAAAGTCCACTAGCATATCTGGCACTTAAACTGGAGTTTATCCAGATGTTGATCAACTAGTCCCTAAAATAATTGAGTCTCTGTATTCTGTCCTATTTTCTGAATTGTCTTTAAAGATAGTCCTGGGTGTACCAGGTTGTAGTAGTTGACCTTCTGTAACTGCGTGATCACTTATTCTCTTTTCTTGGATCGAGTAGTTTCCTTGTTATGTATGCTTTCAACTCTAGCCTCAATCTGATCCAACAAATGTAGAACATAGAACATAGAATAATAGATTGGAGGTTTTCTAGTCCAACCCCCTATACAGGAGACCCTATATTATTTCAGATAAATGATTACCCAGTCGCTTTTTGAAAGCCTCTAGTAATGGAGTAACCACAGCTTCTGAGGGCAAGAATTTTCTCCTTAGTTCTAGTTCTTCTCAGTTGCTTCTCTCCTTGGTTTCTCATCTTGCCTTTTGGTGCTTTGGAAAATAGTTTGATTCCCTTGTCTTTGTAGGAATCCTTCAAATATTGGAATATTGCTATCACGTTTCCCTTGGTCGTTCTTTTCATTAGACTAGATGTACTGAAATCCTGTAGGCTGTTTTAGCCTCCAGCCCCCTAATCATTTTTGTTGCTCTTCTCTATGTTCTTTCCAGAGTCTCAACATCCTTTTTATATTGTGGTGACCAGAACTGAATGCAGTATTTCAAATGTGGTCTTACTAAGGCTTATAAGTGTGGTCTTACTAAGGTTTATAAAGGTCGAACATTGGATTATGTACAGAAAGCCCAGCTGAGCATTTATGTCTCTTTGCTTTCCGAAATAAATTAAGTTTCATTTTTAAAAAATGCAATATAAATGTAAATATCTGATAAGAATATCAGCCTAACTCTAACCAGATAACATAGCTACCGTGTTTCTCATATAATAAGGCCGGGTCTTTTTTTTTTTTTGAGCCCCGAAAAAATGGCTAGGCTGTCTTTTCGGGGGTGACTTAATTTCCCCCCCCTTGCATCTTTGGGCGGGCGGGCAGCGACGGCTTGGATGTTGACCTCGGCATTGGTGGGGCACTTTGTATCGGGGTCAATGCAGGCAGCACCATATCTGGGTGTGCAACAAAAGTACTTCCTAATGGCAAGCCCCCCCATCATTCCCCCCATTTCGCATGTTTTAATGTAGGCCTTAATTTGGGGGGAGGGGCTTAATTTCATTTCATGCCTATAAAACATGCTGGGACTTCCTATTGGGGGAGGCCGTATTGTTGGAGAAACAGGGTAAATTTGAAGTTGTTGTTGCCAGATAAAAATTGTGAAAAAGAAAGAAGCCCTTAGTGTGCATGCCTTACATGGCATTCAATCCCTTGAAGGACCACCTGTCTCCTATAACATGTAGCCAATTCAGTCCTGTAGCTTGGCACATTCTGGGATCCTTTAATTAAACAATGTCATCATTGGAAGCCCGTCTTCTTGGTGGCTCTTCCCCCAGGGCTTTGGTGAGAGAGAACAAGATCTCTCTCTTCATCACACTTGCCATCTTTTCTTTTTATCCTTTATCTTTATTGATTTGGTTGTAATTTATTTGATGTATTATTATTTGAGCCATCAAGATTCATTGAGAGTTGGGTAGCATACAAGTTGTTGTTGTTGTTGTTGTTGTTGTTGTTGTTGTTGTTATGTTTGCCTCTTTCATATTGAAACTACTGAAATCCCAGTTTGTTGAGAAATGGTATGCAGGGTTTAGTGAAGTAATTCACTAAGAATTGCTTATTTGCCTTTCTAATGATTATCACATTTTATTGTAAGTTTAAACAGCAGAGGGTTTAGCCTCTAAGTAGCTATTCTGACAGCTGTCTCTAAATATAGCAACAAACAATCAGCCTCCTCCTCCTCCTCCTCCTGCAGTGGATTTATTGGGCTTATACAACACTTGTGTGTCACCAAGCCAAGGGTTGGGGAGTGGAATTTGCCAGTTGCTAATAGTTACCTGGCATTTTTGTGTATGACCATGAAGAACAGCTTGTGCCCTTTCACCTCTGATGTTTCCAGAATAACATGGGTCTCATTTAGGTCAATATGCCTTTATCAAAATGTCAGGAGTGAAAAATGTGTCTTGGTGTAAGCTGACTGGTCCTTCTTTCCAATTGCAGGAGTTTATAGAACAATCAATGTTTTCTAAGCTTGTCTACATGTCATGCAACGAACTGGATGACAGTAACCATTGACTGTATGTCTGTTTCATTGTCTTTAGGGCAGCACACATTTGCATATTTGTCAGTGTTCCTGTTATCCAGCAAATCATAGAGGCTCTTTAAAAACCCAGAGCTCTTATGCAAATTTTCCCCATGCTATTCCCTTATTCCACAAACCCACACGTGTAAAGGCACCCATAAATAAAGGCACCCTTGCTTGTTTCTATTTTCCTACCCTTGTTACAATATTAAATTCTAATTGCATGTAGGGAGTTTTGATGTAGGGAGTTTTGATGCACTATACCTCGTTATTTTCTCTTTCTCAGAGTCAATTAATTGTAGTTGTCATATATTTTCTTAGTTTGAAAAAAGTTTTTTTTTGCAGAATAACTATAGTATGATTTATGTATAAACATTCTGATGTTATTTCTTTTTAAAGAAATGGCCAGGTGGCTTCTTTATTTGCACATTAGGTATTTTCATGCAGTGTGGAACCTACTTTTCCACTTATATATGTAGTGAAAAGGACATAGGAAAGTCAAACATTTTAAAGCTAAATTTAGTTACAGTGCTAATAGTGGTTCCAAGTATCTATATACAAGTTTATACAACAATTCACTGATAAATATTTTACTAAATAAAAACATCAATGTAAAAGAAGAAAATATAAGCTACTTTATTATTCTGTCAAAATTTTGCTTATTCTTTTTGACATAATTTCCACTAGAAGCTTTAGTTTTTAAAACATTTTCCAATGAATTGAACAATTGGTATGTTGCATTTGTAGGTTTTTTTAATATGACTTTAAAAATTGAAATTTAAGGTGTAGTTTTAACAATTCTAAGATACTATTAAACTTTATTAATTTTGGACTTTACATGCACAGAATTGTCCTTGAAGGCCTTTTTATGTTTTTCCGGCATATATTTTTCAAGATATGATAATAAAATGTGACTAAGTATAAAACAACGTTTTAATTTTTAATTGTATTATGGATTGTTGTTGAAGATTATCATTCCACAACTGGTATTCCTTAGATGGGCGGGGGTTACAGATATCTGAATCTCCAATCAGGAGGGACACCATAGTGGGAGATGATTGTTACAATTTATTTTAAGACTCCCAGACCCGATATTCCATTTTCTCCAAATAGCATATGAAAAGCATTAAAGGCATATTAAATTAATCAGGCTCACTATCTGTTTCCTCTAGGAAATTGTATTAGTGGTATTTTTTGGAACTGAATATGTGGTTCGATTGTGGTCTTCAGGATGCCGCAGTAAATATGTTGGCTTCTGGGGAAGGCTTCGTTTTGCTAGAAAACCCATTTCTATCATTGGTGAGTATGTGTGGTTTTGTATACTATGATTTATTTTAAATTAAAAAACAGAAAATATTGTGCTTCATTATCTAAGAACGGGTGATTGTCTCTGTTTTGAATTACAGACTAATCACATGTATAGATTTGATGTACGATCATGATAGAAAACCGAAAGAAGTATTAATAGGAAAATTATTCTAATGAAAGCTTATTTGAGATGTTGAACACTGGTTGTGGGCAGTCAGTCAAGGAGAGTGGGCACTGCAATTGTTCTTTCCATTCTTTTCTTGCTAGGGTATTTCTATAACCAGGAGACCTACAAAACCTTGGACAAGGTGCTTCAAAACTTTCCAGGGATTTAATTAAATTGTGATTTTTAATGTGGTAGGAAAATATCAAATCACATTCAGTTTTTGACCCTGTTCCAACATTTTGTTCTAATCATACAAAACCTCACAATGTAGCTCCTGATATCTCAATAAAGACAGAAATGATAACATTTAAAAAGATTACTTATCCCTATATTAATAAAATGATGGAACCAGTTATTGTAGCTCTATGTTCCCAGAAGAGTGATCTAGAAGGTAATATTTCAATCCCCAAAGAGTATATTAGTCAGTAGTAACTATAGTATCACTATGTGAGATGGATGGATACAAATGCAATAAAATAAAATAAATATTATTCTGAATGATGGAGTGCCCTTGTGAACTATTCCAGAGTAGCAGTAAATTGAATTTCCATTGGGAAATTTTCCAGAAATGGCTCCATAACGTTTACAGACTCTATATAGCCTGTATGATTTCAGAATGAGCATATGCAGTGTTTGTTCCTCACAAGACAGTGTATCTTTTTCTCAAATAAAAAGTGCAGGTGGGAAGGTGAAATTGCTTCATCTTTTGGAGGTGGTTCTTTCCTTGCTTTTCTTTCCTTGACCACATTGATCAAAGGACATTCCTATCTTTGTTATTTTTTTCAAAGAATTCATCCTTGCTCCACCAGTGTTGCAAGATTAAGTAATAAATGTTCTCAAGAAAATATATGAGGAAGAGATAATTGATACAAAATGTTTTACAGATGGTACATAACTCTGTCCATAATTGTAGAAATAGATAAATCATATAATAATCAATGTTGTGACACAGGGAAAAAACATTTTATCATATGTAGCAGCCATGTAAAAGTTCAAAGGATACTGGAAACTAACACACTGCCTTATTTAAAAAAATATTTAAAACATATATTGCCTTGAAACCTCCTGTACATCTTAGCAAATATATTACTGTGCATGACATCTTTATAAAAATCTTTTTTACAGTCTTTAGAACAATAGCAAATATGTGACTGTGCACGAAGTCTTTATAAAAATACAAGCAAAGCAAGAGGAAAGTAATAGCAAGGCAAATTTGTATAATCGAATATTAATTATCAATGGGTACTGAACACATACCACCTAATAGAAGTAAAATATTTTAGCATAAAATCTAAATATGTGTAAGGTGCATAAACTTTCTAACCTATATTTACTTGTTTATCTGTTTTTAATTTCCAGATCTTATTGTAGTTGTTGCCTCCATGATAGTACTATGTGTTGGTTCAAAAGGTCAAGTTTTTGCCACCTCGGCTATCAGGTAAATATGTTAACTGTAATTTTATACAGGTAATACTCAACTTGAGATCTCAGTAGAGCCTGGAAGATTCAATCTTTAAGTGGTGTGTTCATCAAGTGAGGCATCAACTTGACTGCACCCAATTTTAATGATCATGTTTTGCCATGCTCATTAAGCTAATCTCCCACAGTCATTAAGCGAGACATCACATGAACTTGTGACCTCCTGCTAGCTTCCCCATTGACTTTGCTTGTCAGAAGCCAGCTGGGAAAGTCACAAATAGTGATTGCATAAATGTAGGACACTGTAAACGTCATAAGTGGAAATCAGTTGTCAAATATACAGATCACAATTACATGAATACAGGGAGGCTACAGCAGTCGTAAGTAATCTTTTTCACAAATTTGAATGGCGCTAATGATCGTTAAGTGAGGACTACCTCTATAGTCCTAAACATATATCATTCCCTGTGGGTTTTTCTTTTCTTTTCCATAATCATACTTTTATTTCAAAACTGTATTTTAATTTGTTTCCTTTCTTTTTCTTTGATTAAATACTCCCGCCCCTTCCCCAGAGGTATCCGGTTTCTTCAGATTCTGCGCATGCTTCATGTAGATCGGCAGGGCGGCACATGGAGACTGTTGGGATCTGTAGTGTTCATACATAGACAGGTATGCAAAGATGGGAATTTGTGAGCATTTCTTTCTTTATTGTTGGGAATCTAGATTTACATTAGTTTTGGAGTACTCAAATGTGTCATTCCACTGGTGGGATTCAATTTTTTTTAACTACTGGTTCTATAGGCGTGGCTTGGCGGGTGTGGTGTGGCTTGGTGGGCATGGCTTGGTAGGCGTGGCAGGGGAAGGATACTGTAAAATCTCCATTCCCACCCCACTCCAGGGGGAAGGTTACTACAAAATCCCATTCCCTCCCCACCCCACTAACCTGCTTTCCAGCTCCGTTCTCCTATGCAGGGAAACCAAAGAAGACTCAGCCAATCAGTTGGGACTCGGGAGGCAGAGAATAGATGGGGGCGGGGCCAGTCAGAGGCGGTATTTGCCGGTTCTCCGAACTATTCAAAATTTCCACTACCGGTTCTCCAGAACTGGTCAGCACCTGCTGAATACACCTCTGTGTCATTCCAACAAATTACATGGATTAAAGCCAGGAAGTGATGTTCTAGCTTTGCTTACACCTTCTCTGACTTCCCAACATGGATTGGAAAGTCTGCAGACAAAACTGTAGTTCTGAACTCCGGAGAAGACTAAAGTCTTCTCTAAGACTCAGTAGTACCAATAGTAAGTAATTAGTATAGTAACGTTTACTAAATGAATGTTTGTAAGTTGAGGACCACCTAAGTTGACGTAAGTGAAATCTGACCAGAAAATAACGTAATATGAACTCTTGTAATTTTAGTTGAATATATGCTGAATTAATAGGCTTATGTTCCATAATAGATTTGTTCTACGTCTATGATTGTATTATTAAAGAGTATCACAGATTTATACATTTTTAAAGTAAATGCAATCCTTTGATGTGTCTGTGTGTGTTTGTGTATTTATAGATAACATTTGCACCTATTCTCCTATGTAACCATGATGTGTCTCCACATCTTTAAAATAGTAAACATGGAATTATAATAGTATTAATAAACAAGGCAGAATCATTGCCTTCTCTTTTAATTATGAGCCTCACTTGAACAGAAAATAGTTTACCCAGGGCTTCTTGTTTTGTCTCAACTATGAGAAAATGTAACTGCCATATTTAATTCAAGCCTAAATATAAAATTCAAATCTCACTTGACTGCAAAATTATTTGGATTTGATTGGGTCATTTATTATCTCTTAGCTGGATCTATTTTACAGTTGATATACAGATAAAATATAGGTAAAGAGCCATATACATTTACACGAGATCTTGGAGGATATGTATGTAAATTACATATATACATAGGTACATACATACATACATACATCTTTGACTTGGTTTTGTAGAAATCCAGAGCTGAGGTGAAGTTTATTCAGATCCATTTGTTCAGGGGTGGGCTTCAAAAATTTCAGCAATGGGTCTTCTGCCCGGTTGCTGGGTGGGCGTGGTCATGGTGGCCGTGGCCTAGTTGGCCTCCTGCACCACAGCGCAAGGGGGCGTTTCCCCAGGCTCCGGAGGCTTTCCTTGAGCCTCTGTGAGGGTGAAAACAGCCTCACCTGGGCTCCGGAGGCTCTCCAGAGGCTGGAAACAAGCCCATTTCCAGACTTCTGGAACTTCCAGGAGGCCTATTTTTTTTGCCCCTCCCCGAGCCTCCGTGTGGGCCCTGCACTTACCTCACATCCAAAATGGGCTGCATGGAGACTCCTGGGTGGGGTGGGAGGGGAAGGGCGAGATGAGAGGGGCCAGCCAGGGGTGGGATTTGGTGGTTCGCCAAACCAGCCATAATGTTAGCAACGGGTCCGCTCGAACCCAGGTGAACCCCTAGCAGCCCACCCCTGCATTTGTTCCTCTATGGGTAAATGAAAGTCTGTTCTGAATTACCCAATTCAGTGCATAGGCTGGTAGTTAGCGACCGTATGTTTTATTTTCATTGCACATTGCACTCAACCCACAACAGTTCATTTAGTGACCATTCAAAGTTACCACAGCACTGAAAAAAATGGCATATAACTGTTTTTCATGCTTACGACCACTGCAATATCCCATGGTCACATGATCAAAATTTAGATGCTTGACAACTGACTCACATTTATGACGTGTTCTGGGTTCATGTGGTCCCCTTTTGTGGTCAATGAGGAAGCCAGATTCACTTAACAACTAATTTCACAACTGCACTTAACAACTGTAGCAAGAAAGGTGGCAAACTAGGGAAAACTCACTTAACAAATGTCTCACTTAGCAACAGAAATTTTGGGTTCAATTGTGGTCGTAAGTCAAGGACTACCTGTACAGGAAACACAGCATGGTTTTTTTGTGATTTAGATTGGTAGTGTTTGGAAAAGGAATATTTAAAACGTTTATGCCACTGTGTTCCCAAAACAAGTTGGTTGATTTTGTCACTTGATTTGCCCAAACAAGATATTGATTTATTTCAGTGATTCCCTTCTTGACTGTATTAATTGAAATGTGAAAGGGCTGATCTAGATCATGACCTTAGTATGGGACAAAGAATTAGAGTCACACCCCATTCATTAAGGTTTCTGGTTGGATTAGAAGAAAAATATAGGACAAAGAACTCGAGTCACACCCTACTTCATGAAGGTTTCCAGCTGGATTAACTATGTTTACTCTAGAGTAAAAATGACATGTGGTTTGGCCATTAATACTCTGAACATATTTGAAACTGATAGTTATATTTTCCCAGTCTGGAAGGAATGGAAACTGGAAAATTAGGGGTTTCTTGTCTAATTGTAGATTGTGGCAAAGGGTGGAGCAAAATATTTACATTAAGATGCAATAGTCTTGTGCATATCTTGGTTCGATGAATTAGAAAAGAACATCTCAGTGTGGTCAGTCTAGTACTTTGTAGAAAGATGGAATATATGCAAACTTTTTTCCCCCTGAAACTCCCAGTGGATGATGGGTCTGAGATTACATTATTAAAATAACTTCTAATATTTGATACAGAGGTGGTATTCAGCAGGTTCTGACTAGTTCTGGAGAACCGGTAGCGGAAATTTTTAGTAGTTCAGAAAACCAGCAAATACCACCTCTGACTGGCCCTGCCCCAATCTATTTTCTGCCTCCCAAGTCTCAGCTGATCGGCTGGGTCTTTTGTTGCCCTGCACAGGAGAACAGAGCTGGAAAACAGGTTAGTGGAGTGGGGAGAGAATGGAGATTTTACAGTATCCTTCCCTTGGAGTAGAGTGGGAATGGAGATTTTACAGTATCTTTCCCCTGCCATGCCCACCAAGCCAAGTCACGTCCACCAAGCCGTGCCCACAGAACTGGTAGTAAAAAAAATAATTGAATCTCACCACTGATTAGATACAATCATTTTGAAATGCAAAATATTTTGATAAAGAAATTTTATTAAAAAGTTTTTTGATAAATCAGGAAGCAGTTCCTATATTTTTTAAAAAAATATATTTCAAAGCTCTTCCAACTGCCAATGACTAGATCTGACTTTAAAGTAATTTCTACTTCTGTCTTATATAACATGCTACATACTGTATACCCTGAGTAAAAGATATATGCTTTTCAAACCAGAAGTGTTGTTTTATTCACATGCAGATTTAATCAATGAATTAACACTCATATAATTAAGTGTTCTTTAATGGAATGTCAGGTTTAGTTGTTAAATTTGTTACAATTCAACACTATAGTTTGTTGAAATCCAAGTTTCATCCATGCCTATTTCCATGATGCTTTTCACAATTAGTCTTAATCAGCAAATGCTGTTTACTCCGCATGCTAACCTAGGGTCATTTTGCTTAGCAAACATTTTGTTTCAATTTGAGGAATGGATTGAAGCCAATAAATAAAATGAGGATGATAACTTTCAAAATTATGTAGAATTTATAAGATTTTTTTTCATCTAATATTGATATGAATTAATTTAAATTTAAGCTTCCTTCAGCACAAATTAGAAACTTTTAACATGGAGGGCTTTCAGATTGAGCTGTTAGCTTTTCAGAATTAGGCTTTCTGCCGCTTAAAATTTCCTCTGTCTGGATGTTACTAAAATAGTACTACTGGAAAATAATAAGCCCACTGAAGTATGAACTTGGTGATCAAGTATTATTTTTTCAAAATGGCTTCTGAAGACAGCAGAATTCCCTAAATCCATGATGGTGAACCTATGGCACACATGACAGAAGTGGTACGCAGAGCCATTTCTGCCGGCATGCAAGCCGTCGCCCCAGCTCAGTTCCACTGCGCATGTGTGCGCCTTCTGCCAGCCAGCTGATTGTCAAGTATCTGCCACGCAAGCGCATGGGGAGGAGCATGAGGAGGTCACGCGCACATGCACAGGAGTGTGGGGTGCGTGTGCATGCACACATGCGTATGCATGTGCACACTTTCAGCACGGGACGATGAAAAAGTTAACCATCAGCCCTATATGATTAATTATTCACTAATTGGTTCTTTTTTGTTCTTTCAGGAATTGATAACTACTCTGTATATTGGCTTTCTGGGCTTGATTTTTTCTTCATATTTTGTGTACTTGGCTGAAAAAGATGCTGTGAATGACTCGGGCGATCATGAATTTAGCAGCTATGCTGATGCACTTTGGTGGGGAGTAGTAAGTATAAAAGCATCAAATGTGATATGCTATATATTTAATATAGGAAATATGTCACTTTAAATTATTGGAAGAAAAAGTAAATTGTTTTCTTATTCAGACAGTTGTGTCTAAACTATAATTTCATGATAGATTCAGGTTTTTTAGTGCTTGCTTCCATCTATTAAGGCTACAAATAGCTTAAAATAGAAGAGTGCAGATTCCTAAACTATGAATCTGATGGATCATCCAAACTAGTTTCAATGGGAAGCTTTTGTTTCTACAACTACAACTAATTGTGTTATTTGAAAATGGATATTTTAGTTTTTGTGTTAAACTATTAAATTATTTAAAACAGTTGTCCAATCACATTTCGGATTAACTACAGTTGAGGGTTCAGACAGAACATTCAAATAGAAAGTTCCATTGTCGCATCATCATGGTGACCCTTGACCAAGGAAGCAACATTCATGTAGCATCCCATTAATCCAAAAGAAGAACTTAAATTATAGAATCTCAAAAACTAAATAAAAAAGTGTAATTTTAATTTGTTAATGAAAAATAAGAAACCTGTCAAGATGAGGCTTCTTAGAGGTGTTTACATTTTCTTTTCATGCATTCTGTAAGACTAATGGACTAAGGCTTTGCTTAAGAGTTAAAGCTGAAATGCCCATCTGTTCCTCATTTGCCATATTTTGAACAGCTCCCTATTCTTTCCCAGCATTTGACAATATCCTCCTCCTGTATTAATTCATGGATGTCTGCAAAGTTCTCCCCTTTGTTTAAAAGAACCAACTCTTTGCTAATCCCCAGAAGATGGAGAGACGGGGGGTCATCTAACTTTATATCTGTCTAGGAGTTATGTCTCAGAAGAGCAGTGGGACTCAGCCTGCATCCTGACATGCAAGCTTCCTTCAAAACAATTGTTTATCTTCACCTTTTAAAATGCTACCTTTTTTAATAAATAATTCAAGGCAACACACTTAATGTTCCTTCCTCCTCCTATTTTCCCCACAATATCAACCCTGTGAGGGGAATTGAACTGAGACAGTCACTGGCTCAAAGTCACTCAGCCAATTCTTGCCTAAGATGCCACTAGAACTCACAATCTCCTGGTTTCTAGTAGACAAATTGAAACTTAGTATTTGTATTAAGGTAAAATAATTCCACCGTCAGCCCGTCTAATCTTTTAATTTCTATCTAAAATAAATATGTAATATTCATGACTGCAGCAATATTTGAGGGCTCAGAGGAATTAATATCACTCTACTGGACTTATATCAGTACTGATTTGTGTTCTGAACAAATATATCAGTGTACAGTCCCTGAACTATTTCCTTTGATTCTCTGCAATTTCTGTTTTATCTAGTTTTCATTCAGGGCAGTTCTAACAACTTTCAGCTGGCATCATGCAGGTTTATATTAACCCTGCAAATCATCAGGTTTCATAGTATAGTATAGTATAGTATAGTATAGTATAGTATAGTATAGTATAGAATAGAATAGAATAGAATAGAATAGAATAGAATAGAATAGAATAGAATAGAATAGAATAGAATAGAATAGAATTCTTTATTGGCCAAGGTTGATTGGACACACCAGGAATTTGTCTTGCATCATTAACCTGTCTTCTCCTCTCTTTCCATGTCCTACCTGCCTCCTCACAATTAACATCCTTTATCAGTCAAGTCACTCTATGCAGCTCAGGAAAGCTTACACTTTTTAATAAAATGTGTTAGCTGGAAAAGCTGCTACCAGACTGCCTCTGATTTTGGTGAATTAGTTAATATTTAATAAACCACATCTCTAGTTATCCCAACTTAAGAAGATACCTGAATAGCAGTGATCATCTATCAACAAGAGCATAAGATATTAATTAAACAACATAATTCTTTTGTTTACAAATCACTCTTCTCTCTTGTCAGGCTTTGTTTGGGCTGTCATTGTTCTTTGTGATTTGTGTTCTTGTAACTTTCAACTCTAACCAGCTTTTGTGAGGCAGTGATATCATCAAAGTTTCAGCATTGCCAGATGCTTGGCCCTAAGCTTGCTGGGAGAGCAAGAACAGTGTTCTGTACATAATAGTGCTGTAAAACTATCCAGCTGATCAAACAAAGCTATTCAAACATTGCCTCCTCTTTTAGTATGTTACAATTCCAGTTCTGAAATAGCATAGACATGTGTAAAGAGAATAAATAACTTCTTACATATAAACCTCTTCTGTTTTGTAAAGAAAATTTGATTGCAGATATATATTGGACCTACTTGACAGATAACAAACAGATAGCCTTTGTATTGTAATGGTTCCATTTATTGAAGTTTTTAATTGAAAACAAAATGACTGATATTTTTTTCTGCTTTGAAAGAATCCATCCCTCAAATACTTTAATAAAACTTTTTCACAGAAATGCTCAAACTGGCATGTAACTGGTCAGTGTTATAAATAAAAGACTGAACCAGAGGTAACTTTTATTTGATACAAGAATAATCATCAACAACATAACTTTTATTACAATCACTGACCAGAATTCTATATGTAGTCAAATAATTGAAAAACAGTTTTATTTAGACTAAAATAACACAACATAAAATTATAGCTAAGTCATTGAGGCAATCACAGCAACAATTATAACATGATTTAATTGTGTTCAAGGAAATGATAGTGGTCTGGTCTATTAAACTAATTCTGCATAAAATAGTTCAGAATTGCCTGGTACTTTGCCCAGAATTTGAGTTATAAAGCAGGCCCTTCATCTTTATGGAGTAAGCAGTATAAAATAATATGAGGTATGGATATAATAAATTCTTCTCTGCAAGAGATGATCTTGTGTTTGTTGATTGTTTCATATTTGCTCTCAAGAACAGCTGTCAGGAAAACATTAAAATATGCTAATGTTGGTGCTTTTTGAAATTTAGAGTTAGTTACTTGATTTTGGCTGGCCTTATGTTGGAAGAAATATCCTTCTGGGTTAAGTTCCAAGTGGGGAAAAAGACACTGGAAACATGGAGGCTGTTTGGAAGGTTTAATGGTGGACAGGACCACATGGCCTGGAGCTCCAGAGTGAAAAGAAAGGATGATCACATACTTCAAGTTGAAGGAAAAGATCAAAAAGGGCTGAGGTGCTGAGAGTGCCTGGGTTTTATAATCGTTGTTGGGATTTGAATTGGAGCTGGTATTCTGATTGGTTGTCAGACTCCCATGGGCCATGCAGGGACAACTCTGTAGGCTGTCCTGAGTTCCAGGCTTGGTTGAGCCTTGCTGGATGATGATGATGCACTGAAAAGGGCTTTTGGCAATTGCTATAGCTTTACCTGGAGATCTTTGTTATGTGAAGTATTCTGGCCCAGGCCTTAATGGCCCACCCATTAACAACGGTGGGGGTGAGTTTCTGCTTCTGAGGTGAGTTTCTACTCTTTTTAGAAGAAATATTCTGCCTTTTTAATATTTCCTAGGATATTTCAATTTTCTAGGAGAGGTGTGGGTGCTAACTTCCTACACTTAAAAGAGAGAGGAACACTTTCTGGATAGAGCAGATAAATCCAGTTTGGCTTTATATTTATATTTTATATTTTTTATAAATATAAAATATTTATATTTTATACTTAAGTACAGTTAGTACCCATAATCAGAATGACTGCTCTGGAAAGTCCATAGTGTTGCAATTTTGTACTGTATTTCTGAAAAATACAGTAACTTTAACCCCTGGGCAGCAGTACAAGCAGTGTGTCCATCTTTAAACCTTCCCCCGCACCACATTAGTCATATATTTGAAATATAGTCCTTAAAAATTTGGGCTGAATCCTTTCCAAAGGATGGTCACAACTGAGCATCAAACAGAAGCTGTATGCTTTAATGCTGTTCGTCTATGCTGTACCATTCTGAAGAAGTAGAAAATAGTATAACTACCATTATATTATATTTGGTATAAAATGATGAAAGACTATGCCCAAATGTTTAAAGAACTATATTTTTGTCTGGCTCTATAACCAATAGGTATGGTCTCTACGTCACTTTGCAGAAATTAAAATTTTGTTTTTATTACAGTTGATCTCAAGTTCTTCTTCAGAATAGTAAGCATCTAGAGCAAGGGTGTCAAACTCAAGGCCCACAGGCCAAATCTGGCCCACGGGGTGCTTAGATCTTGCCTGTGGATCTGACCTGGAAACAGCAAAGGACCGGCCCACAGTGCCTCTGCCAGCAAAAATGGAGTTTGGAAAGGCCACGTGGAGCCCTCCCAAGCTTCATTTTTGCTGGCAAAGGGTTGTAGGAGGCTGTCGCAGCTGAAAACGGAGCTTGGGAGCCCGTTTCCACTGGCAGATTGCTCGGGCCACCACAGGCACCCCCGACATGAGTGACGTCAAGCTGACCATGCCCACCTTGGCCATGCCCCCCAACCCCAAGGTCAAATAAAACCCTAATGCGGCCCTCAATGAAATCAAGTTTGACATCCCTGATCTAGAATCCACAGAGTTCATTTTAGTTCAGTTGATATTGTCACTATATCATCTGCATATAATAAGGCTGCAAAATGCCCACTAGCTAATTTTGGGGGATAATCCTGTAAATTTAGTCCTCTAAAGATGGTTGATGTATGAATAAAAGATCAGGGGAACCTTATTTGTAAGTTGTTCTGTTCCTTTTCTTTGTTAATCTGTAGTGTTAAAAGTATTTTCCATGAAAGTACATATTTAAACAATATTTCAGTGCAGGTTCAAATGAACATTTCGAAAATATTTTCTCACAAAATTTGTTATGTCCTACATAAACATCCCGAGTATTGCAAATAAATATTTGAATGAATTTAAAGAATTATTTCAGTCATTAAATTGATTTACACTATTTACACCAGTGATAGTTCCGTCCCTAGCTTGTTTGCCTACTTTTCCTGTTATTGTATAAATCTTCCCTACAGCATTTTTCACCTGGACTGGGATTCCTTTGTATACATATCTTTCCATAAAGTAAAATAAACCCAAAATGATTGGATTGGAGCTGGCACAGTTTTTTCTATAGAGATGAGTAGACTTTGGGCAGGATGCCCTGAGACTTCATGCGTTGTAAAGTTTTCCAAGTCATGAAGGCTTCAATTAATGCTTTGAATTTACAGCATGTTAACATGAGCTCTGTTGTAATTTCATTTCCTATGCACTTTTCTTTCTCCTAAATTAAGGTTCTCCCATACATGATAGTGTAATAATAGGTTTCTTTCTTACCCCACAGATGCATGAGGTTGTGGGGATACACAAATAACTGACATAACAGCTGTCTAAACATTTTAATGTACAAATTAGATACCAGCACCCAACTTTGATTAGTTGGGTTACTTATTTTGGTTACTACACTTGGCCTGGAAATCTAAAAGAGTTTATTGAGATGGAATGTTGAGCTATTTTAGGGAAATGTTAAGAGGACTGGGATAGGATTCAAGAAATTAGTTTTTATGTGGTCATTTGGCTGAAAAACCTATTGCTCCTTTATGCTGCACTGCATATTAGGAGGACATTAATCTGTCTTCCTAGATTTTTATGCTGCTTGGTAGCATAATAATAAATAAATGCCATCATAAATTTATAGTGCTGATGCAGAAAAAAGATAAAAATGAGAATGGAATATGAATGGAATATGTAGTATAGGAACACTACATGAGGAAAAATCATGATAAGGCCTGGAAATGTGAACTCTGTTAGTATCATGATAAGTATAATTATAACTACTGCTGAATATCTAGAGTTTTATTTTGTAGTAGCCCATAAATATTGGAAACTATTTATGAATTTTTAAGGAGAGAGGGGTATTGGCTTTGTTTAGCTATTAAACAGTCCTGTGCATACCTACTTAGTTTGCAGATTTCCATTCTCCCCGCTTCTGCCCATCTAGGAGGAATCATTCTGGTATGTTTCCTTCTGCTTTTTGTTAACCATGGTGACCCCAGATCATCAGATTTGTGAATTGCAGTTACTTTTTATGAAACCAAACCACAATTTGAAGATGATCTGTTTTAAAACTGAGGAAATAATAGCTTCCAGATACTTTATATGGATCACATAGAAGGAAAGGATGGAATGCATAAGCCCAGGAAGTAGGTAGGCTTGTTCACATATTATTAAAACCACATTATTATGATGTTGAAATATGATTGTATGGAGGCTTTCATTGTACTGGAAGATACGTTCTGAATTCTATTATAGAAACTGGCAATTCAACTTTCCTAAATTCCTTGAATGTGAAACACTAAAATACATGGAGCTGTGTATGATAGATCCATCTTTAGAATAGAATAGAATAGAATAGAGTAGAGTATAGAGTAGAGTATAGAGTAGAGTAGAGTAGAGTAGAGTAGAGTAGAATAGAATAGAATAGAATAGAATAGAATAGAATAGAATAGAATAGAATAGAATAGAATAGAATAGAATAGAATAGAATAACAAGAGTTGGAAGGGATCTTGGAGGTCTTCTAGTCCAGCTCCCTGATCAAGCAGGAGAACCTACACTATTTCTGATAAATCACTGAATTATGAACTTTGAAAGAAGGATTTTAAAAGACTAATGGAAGTTGATTGTCATGTATAATCTGCTCCAGTATGTGTACTAGCCATTTAGCATTGCTTGAAGGCAAAATACATGACATCATCTTCTCACCACCATTACCAGCCCATCAGGAAGGCAACCCCTACTTCTCTTTTTCTGCTGCATATTAACATTTTCTGACTTGAGATGGTGCAAGTGGTGATTTTCATTTGCGTGCTGTGTAGGCAAACACCTCGATTCTACCTGATTACTGTCCTCTATGGCAGGAAGACCTCTTCAGAGGTCTAGTCCCACTTTGGGCCACCTGTGTGACTTTGGACCAGTCATTTTCTCTCTCAGCCCAACCTACCTCACAGGATTGTTACTATGGGGAAAATAGGAGAAGGAGTATTTGGTATGTGTGCCACCTTGAGTTATTTATAAAAATAATAAAGTGAGGATAATTTTGTGAAATTCTGTTTAAAAGATTAAAAATTAACAATTAAATTGAAGTGAAATTATTTTTGTAAAATTATGATTATTTTTTTAGTGAGGTAAAACTGACCATTTCAGTCACTTTATTCCTGTAGTCCAGCACTATAGTGCTGTAAGAAGCAAAATGACTGGACAAACAAGACAGATGCTGTTCTGAATTTAGACAGTCTTACAAGCTTATTAATTAATTTGTATATATAGGAATATCCTAAAATACATTTTTTCTGAAGAAAAGAGTACCATTGCATACTTCAAGGTAAAGTAGCTATAAAATACTTCTAATTTCTTATCAATAAAAAACATTTATAATGTTTATAAAATATATAGTTCATAATACATAAATATACTTTAGAAAATTTGAAATATTAATAAAGCTAGATGATCTCAGGGTAATCATATTTATTTCTTGATTTCAGGTAACTGTTACAACCATTGGTTATGGAGACAAGGTGCCTCAAACGTGGATAGGAAAAACTATTGCATCTTGCTTTTCTGTATTTGCAATATCATTTTTTGCCTTGCCTGCAGTAAGTTGTTTATATTAGTCCAAACTTTTTAAAGTTGTACATACATATATTAGGACTGATTTTTATTAGCTCCTATGTAATGTAATATTAACTAAACATTAATTTTATCTACTTCTTTTACATTGCACTGAACTGAATACAGCTTACAAGAGGTGAAGATTTGTTATATTGACTGCCTGCCATAAGGGCAAAAACTAAAATATTAATTGTAAAAACAAAATAAGGAATAATGTTGATTTAGATTTAGGTTGTTGCCCAACTCCAAAATGACTCTGGGCAGCTTACATGAGTTAAAGAGAGGGGGGGAAACAGGAAACATAAAGGCAATAATAAACATTATATCAGTAAAACATGATGTTACAATTATCGCTTCAAACTTTTCTGAGCATTTGGTATGATATACCTAGATCTCTATTTAAGTATGCTGTGATTTCCCTGCAATCTTGTGTTCCATTATTGTCATATATACATGCATACATTCAAATATACACTTGTAATATAGATTAGAGATAGATAGATTCTGCAGTTGTTTTCTACCATCTTCATTTAATTTGATGGCAACATATGCTTTTGATAATTCTTAAGGAGGAAACACATTTAATATGTAAGGCTCTTGCACAATTAATCACAAGAAATAGGTTTAAAATTCCTTGAAGTATTCTGCTGTCTCCTTAGCTTATGTCACTTTATTTGATTCCTGAGGGGAGGATTTTCTGAGTGAACCTCCTGCATGGAATTTGTTCAAAAAGGAAACTTAAGCCACTGAGAAGTTGAGGGTGATCAAGGAAATATGTTAGCAGCAGCAACAACAACAATTGTAATGTTTTGTTGCCATTTTGCAGCAATAATAATTCAAAGCACTGCCAAAACCAATTCAAAAGATCCTGATATTTATGTATGCATTTTGTTACCAACCCCAGAATGTCACAGATTTATTACTTAAATATACGTTAATATTCATATATGTAAAATATATTATGAACAGCAAGAATAAGATCTACTTTTTATGCTGTGAGTTTACATTATGCAACAATCGCTCGGTGCAATTCTTAAGTATGCAAATGCTAGAGAGTATAAAATACTGAAAATATTCCACTTCAAATAGAGCTAATTGGATATTTCAGGGATGATGCAGCTGTCAATAAACATGCCCAAATTCATTAAAATCTCAACTTTTGCTCCAAATTCCATGGTAGCTGAATTTACCACAAACCTTATATTTGAAATGGCGCTTATGTAACTGATTGATTGGTTTATTCTACTAATTTCCTCTGTTCCTCAGGGAATCCTTGGTTCTGGTTTTGCTCTGAAGGTACAACAGAAACAAAGGCAAAAGCATTTCAACCGACAAATTCCAGCAGCTGCTTCTCTCATTCAGGTGCCTAAATACTAGTTTTCTTACATGTGTTACAACTATTAAAAGGGTAGATTTGGTGTTTTTATGTCAAGCATTGCTCAGAAAGATTATTTTATTTTTCCAGTAATGAAACTGGGCTGATGATTTTTCAGTCTTCATCCAGTTTTCATTTGCAGCTATTGCAGAAGGAAGCATTTTTTTTAAATTTGGACCTGTTCAATAACTAAATGTAAAGTATGCTCAGTAACTCTTTGCTTCATAAGTGATACATGTTTTTTCTTTTATCCCTCCACTCTTCTGCCTCTGTTTTGAAATTTCTACAATTCCTGGTTTATTTATATAACCATGCAACCTAGACAATATCTGAGAGATGCATATCTGTTTCCTTGCTAACTTTCATCTTTTGTGTGTTTTGAACAAATATTTTAGACAGCCTGGAGGTGCTACGCATCAGAAAACCCAGATTCTTCCACATGGAAAATATATATTAAAAAGCCTTCCAGAAGTTATCACTTGTTGTCTCCTAGTCCCAAGCCAAAGAAAATAGCGATGGTGTCGGTAATGAATACCTTTTTGTTTTCATTTGACATTTTTGATTGAATAACTTAATATTTAAAGCTGGATGGAAATGAAGTTCTTTCTCATCAAATAGATGTATTGGTACAAAGCCTTGTTCAATATTTTGACCAGAAGTCTCTCCAAAATAAAACATCCATGCAGAAGATATTATTTTTCATGTAGTTTTAGTCTGGTACATGTGAGGCTGGTCAGCCTGCCTACCTGACATGACAAAATTGTGGAGAGTTGTGTTATCTTTTGTGGCTTCCTTCTCTGTTCAGTGCTTCAAAATACATAAAAACTTCTCTTGTTTCAGTGACAAGCAGAACCCTGGGTGGGGGCAATTTTATCCTTCAAAAGATTTTATTTAGGAGAATCTGCATCAAGCATATGCAGTTAGTGAAACTGTGAGGAATGGTAACAAATGGCAAACTGTTGTTTTACAATGTTTTGGAATATGGCTCAAGGGAATACAATACTCCTGAAATATTCTGCTGTTTATTCCTTTCATGGAAGTGCCCTAAGTCCAGTAAATGGAGGTACAGTCTGAATATCTACATCTGAATACCACCTAAATGCATTTATAATTGAGCCAGCATCTTGTAGTATATTCAGTAGAATATATTTCACAGGAATACAGAAACATAATGGGGAAATTTCACTTCATTTGGGCTCTTCCTAGAAGCTATCTCATGTTTTCAATAGAATATTTCCGGCAATGCAAAGCAATGAATCTGGCAACTTTTTAACAATATGCATAGTTAACAATTACAATTACAAAGTCCCAACAGACTTAGGAGATATTTTACATGATTTATGAAGTCTCTTCCACCCCATACTTTGGGTAAAGATAGGGGAAAATAATTTCTTTTTAAAGCTTTCTGTCTTGGCAAAGAATTATAATTAAATAGGTAGAGAGGAATTGTGTACAGGGTGGTTCCCCACCACCACCAAATGTTCAAATAAAGTAATTCTGTTTTGTTTATTTATATGTGTGGTTTTAGCTCTAATTTAGTATCGATGTTTCCCATTTAGAATTTTTTAGGTGAAAAAGATAAAATAAATCTGTTATATTTATCTTTTAAAAAAAGTTTCCAGAATGAAAACAGGATAGAGGCATTTGGGTATCTAAATACTCTAAGATGGATTAAAGACAGTGCTTCAAAATAAAGTAAAAATAGCTACTAGGAACCAAAGAACCAAACTAAAATGTTATGGATCCTTGGTAACATTTATGAAACTCTGTATGTTACCTCCAGAGAATCATAGACTCATAGCGGGAAGGGACCTAAGGGTTCATCAGCCCCCTGCAAACTGCACTCCAAGTGCCTCAATAGGTTATTATTGATGATTTCACAGAATAACTCCTGAAACTCCCATCCAGTGGTGGAATTCAAATAATTACAACTGGTTCTCTGCCCTAATGATTTATTCCAACAACCAGTTCACCAAACTGCTCAGAGAGTTAGCAACCAGTTCTCCCAAAGTGGAGCAAACTGGCTGAATCCCATCGCTGCTCCCATCAGTTATCCAGGAGTTCAATGCCATTATTATTTCTCAGGAAATAATATTGAGCTGGGTAAACAATTCCTTATTAAGGACATCTGAAGCAATTTAATTTTGTTATAGTAATGGATGGATGGATGGATGGATAGAAGGAAGGAAGGAAGGAAGGAAGGATGGATGGAAGGAAGGAAGGAAGGAAGGAAGGAAGGAAGGAAGGAAGGAAGGAAGGAAGGAAGGAAGGAAGGAAGGAATAGTGAGTCAAGTCATCACCTCATTTAGACTTTATTAATGACTGTGATCATTTAATGTAAAAATACTAGAGTTTTCTGAATAATTGCACAGTGAAGATCCATGATAATAAATGCCAGTTTAAAGCAGAAATATGTGCCTTTTGAATTATAATGGTTAGAACATTTTACTCTTTATTTACTCTTTTATGATTGGAATAATCTCACTAGATTAAAGAAAATAGAGGTTAAATTGTATAATATTCGCATATGTTGTAATTTCTCTAGTTTTTTCCTCTAATTTTAAATTATACTATGCTGATGATTTAAAGGATTGGGGTTTGTTTTTTAAAAGAATATTTGTTTCTGTTTTGTTAGGTAAAAAAGAAGAAAACCAAAGCAGAAAAGGATAATGGATCACTTTCTCCTGATAAGATTTTACCTGTTCCACAAATCACATTTGACCGTGTGTTGGAAGATAGGAAAACTGATATTTTTCCTATGGATTCCTATGAAAATTCTGGTAAGACTTTCAGTTATTTTATTTGTTTACTAGAAGTAAAATGACCATCAAATTGGAAAGACTCATATTTCCATGCCTTAAAATAAGGAGTTACAATTTAAACCTGACCAAACCATGTTATTTACATCTGAGTCTTAAAATGTATATTGTAGCTGTAATAATGACTCCAACTCCGTACATCTTAAAGTCGCTAAGATTGAGAAACACTGGTCATAAATAATGTACGAATTCAATGTTATTATGTCATATATCATTTTCAGCATTTTTGTAACTGGTTGCAAATGAATATATTCATTTGCATATGAATATATTTTTCAGTTGCTTCCATTCTAATGCCAATGACTACAATTTTCTGTCTGTCTGATGATATAAAGATATAATTGTGTCTAAGGATATCAGATGGAAAAGTTTTATGGATCTGTGGTTTTAATAATCCCAGCATTAATCTACAAAATAACATATAATTTCTATTTAGGAAGTTGTTTTGGACAAGGGTCCCTATTTTTTTTAAAAAAATGATTTAGCTTGTGAGAGTTGATTAAATTTTTTTAAAATGGTCTCATCACTCAAATATTTGCATGTATTTAGATTCAACAAATTACAATATACATCTGCAATCCATTCCTCTCTGAAAATACATTTATACAATAATAGCTTGATTCTTTTTATTCATTTTAGAACTAAGTATTTTAGAACAAAAAAACTGTAGAAAATACTTTTAAAATTACATATTTATAATGCTGGTGTGCTATATGTATATTTGCATGTGTGTGTGTATGTGTACACACACACACACACACATACATATATATGTAATACACACTTGCTTCTTAGATTTGAACATTTGGACATTTTATATCCTTTTTTATTTAAAAACATATTTGACAAGTTCATGCAGATATGTTGCAATTTTTAAAAACAAGAAATAGAAAACAACTATCTGTGAAAACGGCACATTTGAATATGTATCAGGTTATAAGTTCACATCTAGTTCTGGATTTCTGAATAGATTATGCAAGTCAAAACACGTTAAAGCTTTCTTTCATTGCTTTCTGGGCACAACTGATACTAATCTTTAATTGGGATTTATAATATTTAAAAGACAAGATGCTGACTCCAGTTTTTGGACCAAAAATCTCCTTTTCTTCTGACATCTATTCTTTTCCCTCCCCTTCTCCCTGTCTTCTGTTCTCTTGAAACTCTTACAAGTATACAGGAGAAACAGGCATGTTAAAATTTCTTGGTAAGTTAACGAAGCTCTCTTTACCTATAGCATGCTAGATTCTGAATCTTAACATTGCTTGCCATGATTTCCATACTCTCTCGCTACTTATTAACTTAGCATGAAGTATAGGAAGCAAAATTGGCAACATTTGCCATCTTCCTATTATTATAATTCACCTATTAAAAGAGGAAAACAGTTTATTTTTAAGATGACCTGGTAAGTGCCTTTCTCGTTCCTATAATTGTAAGAAGTAGGTAGGTCAGTTCAGTATGTTTATTCAGTGGCTAAGGATTCAGTGCTCTTGCACCAAAAATATTACCTAATGAAGCAAAAGTCACATTTCCCCTTTCCAGTTCCGAAACTCACCAAGGAGACATGGGGGTCTAGATGCAGAGGGAGAATTATCTTCTACAGATTCCATCAATTGATTAAATTTCTTCAGGATAAGAAGAGCCCTGGATGCTATCACTGCCTTTTTTTTTTCTCTTAATTTTTTTATGTTAGAATGTTAATATTTGTAGACCATCCCAATAGCTCCTGTTCTGGATGGTGTACAACAAAGCAACTAAATATATCAGCATGCTACAAACATTAAAAAAAAAACATCACCTCTCAGTCATCCAAGGTCAAAGGTCTGCTTGAACAGAGCCTTATGAAATGCAAGTGGGGGATAGATATGAAAGCTACTGCTGAGGCCTGCGATTGTATATCTCTCTTGATGTCTGGACAGAGAGACAGGGTTGTAGCACTGTTTATTAGAATATGCTGGGCAAGATTCTGTATTTTTATTTGGCACTTGTATAATACACAAATGACACAGTTGATGCATGTGTCTTACTAGCATTGTTTTAATTGAAATGATAATTTTAAAACTTTCTTTCTTGTATTCTTAATTGTGGCTTCGATACTGTAACAGGCTCCCTAGATCACTTTCTCCTTCTCTTGTTTCCCTGTTCTGTCCACTCCCTCTTGTCCTTTTCATCTGTTTATTCAGACCGACAGCATTCCTGGACATCCTTTACTACAGAGCAACCATCTCCCAGTTCTCCAGGTAAACTCAGCTACTCTTTGCTTTCATTCTCTTGAACTGCCTGGTTGAGAACCTGGAGGTTGGCATATTTAGTACAGATCCCCTAGCATGGAAATCATCTTGCACAGTCAAAATTACTCTTTGCACTACATATTTCAACCTAAGTGTTTCTGACAGATTATCTCTGAGAAAGTACATCTCTTAATAGAAAAAAAGATTGCTTACACTCTGCACAGGATCACATTAAAACCCTTATAGGCCCTAAATATTATCACATTGTGATAATAATCTAGTTGGTGAGGGTTATAACAAAATTGCCTGGCCTTATGCATCATTAGTTTTTGGGAAATCGGTCACAGTAAGCAATAAAAGTTTAAGCAAGTGGTTAAGGCACTGGATTAGGAGTTTGTAAGCCCTAGACACAGTGTCTATTAGATGGACATGCCTCAAATTTATAAGATTTTTGAGAAAAAGTGCTATTGTTAAGAACATTTTAAATATATATAACTTGTTCTGTTCCTAAAGTATTGCAAGTTACTGGGCATATCCAATAATATAATACACAAACCCTAGTTTAAGTAGATTTATACTTAATAATTTAAGGTGTTATGCTTTTATTTTTGTCATAAAATTCCACCTGTTAAGCTTGCTAATATCCACAATTGCTGAAGCAGAATACTGTATATCTTTTAAGGTTCATTTTACTTTTTTGCTTTTGTTTAATACATAGAGTTCTTATATCTAAAAGCACTGTTTCTATATTACCAAAGGGGAAAAATAGTTTATAGGGACAGACATTTATAACATAATTCCAGAGCAAAAACCCCTCATGTTCTCCTTTTCTTTGTATGCACCTAGGCAGGGATACCATTTTCTTCTAATTATAAACTTACATTTGATTCTGCCTTTTAATTGTTTTCTCTATATTCCTCGATATTTTACAGCTTTTAAAATGTTTTGTAGCCCTTAGATACAGATAACCTTTACTTGCCTCTTTTTCTTCCACAGTTAAAAGGAACTCTCCATTTTTAGAGCCACATACAGGATCTTTCATTAGAACAAACAGCTTTGCTGATGAACTTGACCTGGAAGGGGAGACTTTGCTGACTCCAATAACTCACATCTCACAGTAAGTCACAGAATCCTGAATACCATTAACCCCTGATCAGAGTGCAAGCTAAAAGAAGATAAACTGTGATTGTTAGAACAAGGTTGTATAGAATTTCCCAGGTAGGTCTAATGGAACAAGCGTGAATTTTATCGTTGCCTATCCAACAAGTTGTGCAAAATATATTTAGGATATTGCTTTTAATGTGAAACTAATGTTTTGATTAGACAAAGCAAAAAAGAACTGTGTTGCTTTTGGATGACATGTAATTAATATTGAACATGCATTCCTGCTGATTTACTAGGACAAACTAGTTAAATGGAATAGACTGAAATTATGTCTTTTCTGACATGTTACATAAGTTTTGTAATATTCAAAATCCTTTGGCCAAGGCTTTTGTCCTTTGTTGAATACAGTTTTATACAGATTTCTTTAACCTGTTGGGAGAGTTAAAAATTGGTATTGATTACAAATCATAATAAATGAATAAGAGGGGAACATATAGAAACTTGCCTTAGGTGTGAACATTGAATGAACTGCTCAACTTTAATGGAAGTCTCTAGGCTGCATTTGGCTAAACTGCCCTCTCTTACAATTTTGGATTGATCCTATTAACATCATAAATATATTCTTAGACTCTGAAAATATTACAATGAATTAATTAATTATCTATCTGAATACAAAAAGAAAAGTGCAGATCTTGCATAGATTACACATTTACAATATAATACACACAGAAGTGGTTACTGATCACAAAATTCTACATAATTAAAGTTTCAGATATCATGAGTAACAATACAGTAGCATGGTTCTAAAGGCCTTGGTCAAGAAAGCTTTTTTATGGTCTGGTCTGAATATTCTTTCATTTAATTCTAATTTGTGTTCTGCTAAACTTCTGAAAACCAGCATTTTAAAATTAACAAGTGGCTTTCTTATACAATATTTTATGGATATATTCTAAAATGTCTCGTGGTATATACAATCCAAGCATCAGCTCAACCTGCACGCACCAGTTCACATGTCAAAGTCAGATCAAATGCAGCTTTGTACAGCTTGATCCATGCTGTATAAAAGGTGCATCACCCTGAATAATATTTTATAGGCCCAGCTGCATACCATTGTAAACTCTTGGTAGAAAGGAAGGCCTTTGCAGCTGGTAAGAATAATGTGCTGTTGAATTTTGGACTGCAGCACTGCATATAAATTAATATGTCCCATGGGCCTTGGAAATGAGCATATATGAAAGAAACTGATTCCATAACCACAAAGGTGTGCACAAGAGCTGCTGTGTGGATTGGAGGCATGCGCTCAGTCAAGAGTATCTGCAAACAGGTTTCACCTGAAAGCGTAAAATTACTTCTCCTTGACAGGCAATATAAATCAACTGACAACAATATTGATTACCTACTGCACCATTAGGAAACTTGCCTGGTATAAGTCAGATTAAGGAATGTGTTTAAAATATCTGTTTCCACTTAGTTTGAAAGGATTGATAAACTTGTGCAGTTCAAACTTGTCAATGGCACTGCAAGTACATCGGGTATCTGAGAAAATAAGGAACAGTAAACTGGCAGCAGCCTTGTGAAAATGTCACGATTTACGAGGCCTCCAGAGTCCCTCTATTTCAAACCCGGTGTATTTATTCAGCATATGGGCAGCATATTTGGAAAGGTGAAAGCAGAAGAATCTATCACATGATTCAATATACGACTACCGGTGCAAATGCGCAACAGTTTGTGAATGTGTTTTCCTGATTTTGGAATGTGGTATCAAGGAGAGGCTTTTGTTTATACTAATAGGTCTGTATTTCATTTCTGACCTCAGCTAGTTGCAACAATTGTTATCTAGATCTATGAAATTCACTTAACAAAGTTCTGCTATTATATTTTGCCCCCAAAATATTTTTCCAATTCACTATGTTGTATTACAGAGTGCAGGAATCTTCATTTTGTTGTAATGATTCGTTATCAATTAAAAATAAATAAATTTATCTCATGGAAATTTTATATAAACTTCACATAAATTTCATTAATAAGTAAAATAAACATCCATAAGCTTCTTTCCCAACATTTCCGGGTATAAGAGTCACTGGGGTATATAACTGGAAAGTGTTGCTTCTTCTTTGGAGGTAAAAAGAAACGATACAGTACACATGACAGATAGTTAGCCTAGGCTAAGTGGTCTCAGAGCAGCTCAATGACTAAGATTCCAGTAATATCATGTTCAAATCTGATGATTCCAGTAATGTCATGTTCAAATCTGCCTGGCAATTTTCCCCAAGTTTATTTCTCTTACAAAATACAAATTTCTTTTTCTCCATTGCTTTCAGATGCTTGAAAATTCCTTTCAAATGTCTCCTGGTGGAATTTTTGAGCTTCATTAATTGGTGGAAATGATAGAGACAGCTACTGTGGTAGTATTGTGGTTTTTCTATTGTTTAGCTTTTCATAACTCAAAACACACACTTCCCAATTTGAGAAAATAACTTCCTCCCCCTCTCCCTCCCTTTTCTATCCCGCCCATCTCACCTAACGCTTTATGGGAAGTGCTCCACATAAGGTTTCTCCTTGGAATTTAACCAAAGTACGAGAACCAGGAAAACTGCAAGCTGCTAGAAAAATGATTGGAGAGATAGATGGTTGGTATACATATGTTTGCTGCTCTGCAAGTAAACAAAAGGAGTAATGTGATTTTTCCTTTTAAAAGCAAATTCTATTTCAGTAAAATATATGAGAAATAAACATAGGAAAAAATTGCACTGCTAGAATGCTCTTATCTGCTCCATGGTTCCCCTCTCGTACAAAGATTTTAAGGTGCAAGCAAAGGGATATTATCTTAACTCTTCCCCCATGTAGTAAAATCAGAGAAAGCAAAAAAGAGATCCAATATTCTCTGTCAGATAATCCCCCAGATAATTCCACAAAATATGGTTCATTTTCATACTGCAGCTGCTAGAGCCTCCAGTATGGAAAACAAGCAATATAAATAAGAATTAAAAGTCATTATTTTGCCTTGCAAATATTCTTCTAAACATTCCTAAGAAGGAGAATTTTTCTTCAGGTAAACAAGTATGTATGAATTTATTTAAATGGGGAAGAAGAAAAGTAATTTTCCTCAATCATCTACAAATGCCCGAAGTCTAGTTGCATATGTAAATACTATGCTGGAGCTTCAGGAAATACAAGAGAGGGACGCCTATCTTTAGTATTCCTTGCCATTTGCATTTTTTCTGGCTATTTATCTCCTATGGTGGAGTGGTGCGGTGGCCTAGAGGTGGAGCTCTCGCCTCACAATCAGGAGGCTGTGAGTTCGATCCTAGCTAGAGGCAGATATTTCTCTCTCCAAGCCCAATGAGAATATATCTGCTGAACAAAACTCCACATTGGTGACAGGAAGGGCCATTAAACAGTCTGCTAGCTCCATTCAGTTGCTCAGACTCCATCCTGCAAGGGATTAAGGGAACGTTAAAAGAAGATGATGATTATATCTCCTGTAGTCTTCCTTTGTTGACTGTAAGTGAAAATGTGGGCATCTGCCAGGGAACAAATAATAAAATGGGTACAGTGTCATGATATAAAAGCTGCAATTTATGTATTTTCATCTGGTATTCGAACACTGGTACGTGATGGTGGTCATTTTGGAATTAGAAGTCATAGAATAACAGAGTTGGAAAGGGATCTTGGAGGTCATCTAGTCAAACCCCCTTATATCATTTCAGACAAATGGCTGTCCAGTCCATTCTTGAAAGCCACCAGAATTGTTGGGGATTGTTGCTGTGTGACTTGAGTGGAATGTGCCATGGTATACTGCAAGTAGGGAATCATATTTTAATGCTTCCACAAAATAAATCTTATAAATAAATAGTTACGATAGATAGATAAAAGATTATTTAGGTACTCTAAATACTTTAAATACTCTATTTAGGTACTCTTCAGTCATGCTAGGTTTCAGTCTGTGATTAGAGTGGTTTTATTTGCTTTATTTACACAGGGGAATTTTCCAAAGGCTCTCTTCTCATAATTCAGGCTCATAATTCAGAAAATAATTCAGCATTCTAAGACCCAAACTCTTTATACTCTATATAAATGATCTTTGTGATCACCTTATAAGCAACTGTGTCCTCTTCGCGGATGATGTAAAACTATTCAACACCACTGACAATGCTACTGCTCTTCAAAGTGACCTTGATGTCTGAATGGTCAAACAATTGGCAACTCCAAATCTCGACCAACAAATGCTCCATCCTACACATTGGTAAAAAAAATCAGCACACCAAATACAAACTAGGCAGTTATGACCTCATTGATGACCCTCACTCTGTCAAGGACCTAGGAGTACTCATATCTAATGACCTAAGTGCCAGAGCTCACTGTAACAGCATTGCCAAAATGGCATTAAGAGTTGTAAATCTAATCTTACGAAGCTTCTCCTCTGGAAATATTGAATTGCTAACTAGGGCAAATAAAACCTTTGCTAGACCAATACTCGAATACAGTCCATCTGTCTGGAATCCGCACTGTATATCAGACATTAATACAATTGAGCAAGTCCAGAAGTATTTCACGAGAAGAGTACTATACTCCTCTGCTCGCAACAGAACACCCTATATCACCAGGCTTGAAATTTTGGGCTTGGACAATCTTGAATTACACCGCCTACAGTTGGACTTAAGCGTAGTACACAAAACTATCTGCTACAATGTCCTACCAGTCAATGACTACTTCAGCTTCAACCACAACAATTCAAGAGCACACAACAGATACAAACTCAATGTTAACAGCTCCAAACTTGATTGCAGAAAGTACGACTTCAGCAACAGAGTGGTCAATGCCTGGAATGCACTATCTGACTCTGTTGTTACATCCTCAAACCCCCACTCCTTTAACCTTAAACTATCCACTATTGATCTCACCCCATTCCTAAGAGGTCTGTAAGGGGCGTGCATAAGTGCACTATCGTGCCTCCCGTCCCTGTCCTATTGTCCCCATTTAATCGCACCTATTTTCTGTATTCTTACTCAT